GCTCCTCCCCGGGGAGCTGCACGAGGAGGGGGCTGCTCGTCGGGCTGTGAGCACAAACATGCAGGAGAGAAGAGGAAACTTGCTTTTTTTATGGCATCCACGTGGGGTAGGGGAAAAAAAAAATATTTAAAAAAATACTGTTTGGGGCTCAAAAAAAAAAAAAGCAAGTTTGTGAATTCCAGGAATTTTTTGCCTCTGGACTGGGAAGGGAGGGTTTATCTGCGCACAGGATCCCTTCAGAGGGCTCCCGTGACACCCGGGCAGCGTGCCAGCGGGGGCAGATGCTTTTGGGGACGCCACCGGCCGGCCCAGCATCGGCGCGAGGCCATCCCGGAGAGCCGCCGCTAACAAAGTTTTTGCATCGGAGCCTAATTAACAGTCGCCAAGCAAAATCCCGGCTATTTGGCAAACCCTTCACCCGCCTCCTCTTCCTCCCGCTTCAGCCAGAGCGACAATCGGAGCCTTGTTTGGGAGCGGGGTCAGGGCGGGCCAGCGCTCGGGCCACCTTCGTTAACGGCCCAATTATCCCAGGCAGGAGATTTTCCCGGCGCTCAGCTCTGAGAACCAGGATCCGACATTCCCGGTTAATCAGCTTTGGGATGATCCACGTGAAATTTATAAGCCCCTTAATTTGGGGGGCTGGGCTCTCCCTGGTTATCCCAGGTACCGGTGCAGCACCCCCAACCTAGGGATGCTCCCCTGGCATCTCCGATTAATATTCCCACGGGATTGGACCCGCTCAGACCCCACCTAAACACTGCCCCTAAATTAGGAGGGCTAATTACAAAGCAGACAAAAAAAAATAGGTATTTTCTTATTAAAGAAGCATTTTCTCTTTTTTTTCAATAAATAAGCACTGCCCTCTGACCTCACCTCTCCAGCCGAGCTGCCTACCCCCGCTTTAAAGTTTGGAGGGGAAGAAGCAACAGGGAGTAAAGCCAGCCCCATTAATGAAGCTCATTAATTAGGCTTGGCCCCAACACAATTAATCAGGGAGGTTTTAGCATTCGGTTTTGTTTGGCGCTTCTGAATAAACCCACCCCGAGAAGAAAACTTCCCACTCAGGAGGGCAAAAACAGGCCGGAAAGTTGCTGGCATCCCAGAAAAACAAGGAAAAAGTCCCCCAAAAAAATCCAAAATCCCAACTCTGACCTCATCCATCCACAAAATTGTGACGGGCAAATATTGAGAGGACAGGAATATTGAGAGCAACCCATGCTTGAATAAATGCTGTTAAAAAAAATGAGGGGTGTTTGGGGGAATTTTGGCTCAGTTTTGGGGTGTTTCTGGGGTTCAGCGTGATTTTTTTTTTTCTTTTTCGGGGCCACCCCTCACTTTTTGGGGGTGGCAATTTTTACTAAGGGCCAGCTCGCCCGCCCCAGGAGAGCGGACGGGCGGTCCCCCACGTAGGACGAGCGCGCCGGTGAGTCACGGCAGCGCCGCACGGATGGGGATGCGCCGCACCGGCGTGAACTTTGCTCCGGGAAGGTGGCAGAGAGCAACACCTCTTCCCTCCGACACCAGCCCCGACCCCACGAAGAATGAGACAATAAAACTACTTCTGCAGGTTTAACCTCTAGCGAAAACAAAACCAAACCCTCAATTTTTAACCTTTTAACCCAACCCCAGAACTTTATATTTCTACGAAGCTCCGGCAGGTTGAAGGGACAGGCGGTGGGAAGGCTGCCGGCGTTTTTGGAGGCTCTCCCCGGGGAAGGGTCACTGTGAGTCAGCTCCTCCCGCTCGCTTCGGGCTTCCCAGTTCCAAACACGCTGCCCGGCACGATCCGGGAGCCTTTCGGCTTTAACCTC